GCAAAAATTTCAGTCTCTCGATGTGCAAAACTGATAGAGACATACCCCAAGCGACTTACAGCTGTAATCGCAGCAAAAGGTGGCGCTACCAAGTATTAACTTAAGGGGGCTGAATAATTTTGCACGCCCAATTATTCCGTTTTTTATTTGTTAAAAAAGTTTGAAATATCCAATAAATTTTGTTCCACTTCATGATTGTGTCCCACTTGTTGTTGATTCTTCACAACAAATTACAGTTTTATATCTTTATGTTTGAAGCCTGAAATGTGGCAAAAGGTCGCAAAGTTCAAGGGGGCCGAATACTTTCGCAAGGCACTGTATGTGTGTTGGTTAGCAGGATTATGGACAAACAGCTGGATGGATCATCAGCATACAGACAGGACCAACCCTAGCAGTAATTAGAGTTGGTTGAAAAGGTTAAAGGTCATGGTCATAAAAAACAATAAAAATAAAAAAGACATATTTCACAAGGGACCCATTTGCATGAGCTAATGTTGTGCCTTAGCAGAGGTACATGCACTTTCTGAGTGCTTTTGTTGAAATATTTGTTCTAGTGCTGCCTCTGCACAGTATTGAAAGTATTGTTATTTTGTTTTTGTATATACATGCCATAATCTGAATAGACATTAAGCACTGTGTTTATTGTGCAGCCTGTGAAGATGTTCTACAGCAACAAGTCTCTCCTTGAAAATGCTGAGGTATTTCCTTAAGATTTCTGAAGAAGATACATTTTACCAGTATTATTCTGTCATATAAACAATATTTAAATTTAGATATAATGAGGTATAAATGTAATAATTATTCTGAAGAGGAAGACTCATACTGTCACAGTTGGTGCAGATACAAATTTCTTTTCTTTAACAGAACAGAATCACCTCATCTCTCCAACATGCTGTGGTCAGCCTTCCTAACACATTTGAAAACATCAGTACAAATCAGCCAAATGCACACAAATACATCACATCATATACAGTGCATCATACATACAAGTACTTTATACACACATCCTTTTAGTAGTAGGAAAAGAATGCTTTATTGATTGGCTGGTTTCCTGTCTCTGTGCTGCTGCTGCTGCTGCTTCTGCTATGTGTTTGACATGTTTTTTGTGAATACACTTTGTGTGTATGTGGTGCTTGTGGTTAGGCTTTGGACGAACTGGTGAACTGTGACTTTGCACCCCAGGTGCGCACGTTGTATGGCCCCACATTGTGCCTCCGATTCAACCTGGCTCGTATTCAGCTAGTCCTGGCACTCAGTAACACTGTACATGGCTCTCATTTGCCAGGTTTGTAAACGATGTTCACCATCCAAGATGAATATGTGTTCTTGAGATAAGCATACTTTGCTACTTTAAACAAATTACCCTTCAACAGTATTTCTGAATTTGAGTAACCATCTTTAGTCTCACTGAGTTTTGATGACTGCATCACAAGAAGGTATTTGCATATACTGTACACTTGCCTGTAAATTAACCCTTATATCCATAATTTTCATTGTACTGTGCTGTATTTGTGTATTAAAGCATTCACATTCATTTTAAATACAACCAGCTCCTTCTGAAAGAGTCACAATGAATCAGTTTTTTATGCACAAAGTGGGAATGTCTTTCAGATTCTGTTGAAGCAAAAGCTTGTGCCAGCATATCAAGTTCAGTGAACTCAGAGCACCATGGAAAGGAAAGCCTGGTCACTGAGAGTTCCTGCCTATACACAGAAGAGCCGAAAGTGCTAGATCTGAATAGTGTGAAAAAGAAGCTCACTCCAGAAAGGATTAAAGTAAGACTTCTCAGGGAGTTTTCAATGAATATTTACTTCAGTTGTTTGCCACCCACTCTAATTTTTGTATTTAACTGTTTAATCTTGGCACCTTACAGTAAATACGGAGCAAGTTTTTTACAATTTGTTTGTCTCAACTTGCCAATATCTGTCATCTCTTCTGTTTTTAGGTCCTTCTGTTAGAAGGAGCATCCACCTTGTTGCACTCAAGTTTTCAGCATCTCACATCTCAGTGCTGCAGTGAAATAGAGAACTTGGAACTAAAAGTAGAGTCCAATCTTCTAAAGGCCAATCTGTATCTGCAGCAGGGACATGCTACACTTAGGTATGTGAGCCTTATGCATGTGAACTGTGCTACTCAATTTTAAAATAAAGTGCAAACAATTCCAGTGTACTACAAGTTCTGTCGAATGAGTAATGCCACTATCACTGCAACTCAGATGTTTGAGAAACATGCTTATGTTTCGCATGTGGCGACTGTCCTAACCATTTTAATGTCTGCTTCAGTTCTGAGATGGCAGTTTCATCCTTGGTGCTGCTGCAGACGTCTCCTTTAATGACAGGACGAGCCATACCTGGATCGCAGAAACCTGCATCTGAACTTTTACATCTCAGAAATGGAAGTGAACAGGTAGGATGTTTTTATAAAGTAGTTGCAGAATCAAGAAAATTGACTTTTGAACTAAAATCATACTGTGTTATAAACATGATAACATTACAGCCAACAGAACCACCAACATAAAAGAGGTAGTTCTGAGTCAGTATATTAGAAGTTGATAATGTAATAATGTTACCTTTTCCCATTTAAAATATAAACATAACCGAATTAGGGCAGTAGAATGGTGAATGGTTGTATGTGTGTGTACATACAGTATGCATGTAAGTAAGTAAGTAAGTAAGTAAGTAAGTTTTATTTATATAGCACTTTTCACAGACAGAATCACAAAGTGCTTTACAAAGTCAAAAGATAATAAGACAAAACAAAATAGTAAAACAATAAACATAAATAATATACATAAAACCTAAAAGCTACTCAAATAGCACAAAACAATTCATAAGAATGAATAAACCCAATCAATTAAAAAACTGTCTAAATAAATGTGGCTTCAGCTGTTTTTTAAAGTCATCGACAGATTCGGCCATACGTAAAGTCAAGGGCAGGGCATTCCACAGTCTTGGAGCTACAGCCTGAAAAGACAGGTCCCCCCGAGATTTAAAATGAGTTTTAGGGACCACCAAGAGGGTCTGATTTAAAGAACGAAGAGTACATTTGGGGGAATATGGGGTCAACAGATCAATAATGTACTGAGGGACCTGCCCATGTAGTGCTCTAAATGTCAGCGCTAAAATTTTTTAATCAATTCTAGCCTTGACTGGTAACCAGTGAAGTGAATACAAAACTGGAGTGATATGAGTTGTTCTAGAGGTTCCTGTCAGGAGCCTCGCAGCAGCATTCTGGACAATCTGAAGTCGATTTAAAGTAGACTTATTACAACAAGTAAAAAGAGAGTTGCAAAAATCAATACACGCAGAAATAAAAGCATGAACAATCATTTCAAGATCCGCCTTAGATAAAATCTTCCTTAATTTAGAGATATTTCTCAAATGATAAAAGCAATTCCTGACTAACTGTCTTATATGACAATCAAGAGACATCGCCTGGTCCAACACAACACCAAGGCTTCTAAGGCTCAACTGGATGGAGGAGCCCAGCAAACCAAGGTGTTGTTTAATTACGGTGAACTTGTTAACAGGTGCAATAATAAGAGTTTCAGTCTTGTTAGAATTTATGTGAAGATAATTATTGTTGGGCCAGTTCTTGATGGAAGACAAGCACTCTAATAATATCGCTAAACAATGAAACTCTGAATCATTAAAAGAACAGTAAATTTGAAGATCATCTGCATAAAGATGATAAGAGACATTCTTAAAACACCGGATAATCTGACCCAGCGGAAAAATATATAATAAAAACAAAAGAGGACCCAAGACCGACCCTTGTGGGACTCCACAGGACAAAGCATCCACTATGGGACATTTAAAAATACATTCATGGGACCCATGTATGTATTTTTAACTATATAGGTACTTCACAAATGGAGAGACCCCAAGACATGCAAAGAACGCATTAATGGCAGAGGCAAGGAGGACAGAAGAAGGGTTGAGGAGGACCACCGAAGCCTCAGAGCCAGCAGAGGGGACCTCATCTGAATCAGCAGCCTCAGAGCCAGCAAATAAGCATTTACGAATGGAGACTGCAAGCAAGAAGAATAGTCTTGGAACAATTTTTGATGAAATCCTGGGGGAAAGCATTGTAGAACCTGCTTCTCAGTTGACCAACACTAATGCTCACGCTGAAATCCAAACCTACCTCACTGAGCCAACTATTCAGCGTTCAGACGATCCACTGCTGTACTGGAAAGTCAACCAACCTAGGCTGCCCAACCTGGCAGTTATGGTCGCTAGATTTCTCTGTGCACCTTCAACAAGTGTGGAGAGTGAAAGACTTTTCAGCTCTGCCTCCATTATTATTGATGAACGGAGGAGCAGCCTGACAGCTGAGAAGGCTGAAATGCTAATCTTTCTAAAGAAGAATTTGCCCCTCATGTTAAAGTGAAGTTACACACTTAAGTTAAACAAGGACAGTGAAAACATGAGGCACTGGTTTTTGTGACAGTTTTCATGGCCAGGCAGGTACTGAAAAACTTGAATAAATATTCAAATATTTTACTTGATGTTTCAAATGTTCGTACTGGTCTTACAGTTCAATACCAGACTAGGTTACTGTGTTTTACTGTCCAATTATGGAGATTCTATTACATTTAATGTTAAGTTATTGTTATTTAAGTTATGGTTATATCCAGTGTTTGATGCTGGAATTATTATTCTTTCAAACCTAAGTATTTAGAGAATAACAAACGTTTACACAAAGGTGCACCTAAAATTTTACTTGAATGTTTGAATTGTGCTGACTAGTCAAAAGTGCTGCTAAAAGTTCTCTGTTTGAAGAATTGAAATAAAAATTAAGCAGCAGTGTTGCACAACTCATGGTTGTGGGCGATGTATTTCTTCCTTTAGGAGAGTAGAATATTTGACAAATGTGTTACTAAGCAATTGTTTAACAGAGGGGAAAAATATCATTTTGGATCGGTATCGGCAGATACTCAAAATTGGGGTATCGGTATCGGTATCGGACATGGAAAAGTGGTATCGTGCCACCCCTACTCCAGACATGACATTATTAATAGTCACATTAAAAGTTCGATCACTAAGATAGGAAGAGAACCACTTAAGGACAGACCCAGAAAACCCCAAATCAGACTGAAGCCGATTTATCAAAATACCATGGTCCACAGTGTCAAAGGCAGATGTCAAGTCTAATAAAACTAGGACAGTATAACGACCAGAGCCTGCAGCCATCATTATGTCATTTGAGACTTTAAGTAAGTCTCAGTAGAATGCATTTTACGAAACCCTGACTGAAAATCGTCAAATAATTTATTCTGTTCCATAAAAGCAATCAGCTGTCCTGCTACCGCTTTTTCCAAGATTTTTGACATAAAAGGGAGCTTTGATATTGGCCTATAGTTTTTTGGCTCAGAATAGTCGAGAGTCGACTTTTTAAGAATAGGATTAACAAGTGCATGCTTAAAATAGCTAGGGACAGATCCTGTCTGAAGTGAAAGATTTAACAGTTTCATAATCCAAGGCCCAATCAAGTCAGCCTTACTTAGAACCAAAGATGTAGGTAAGATGTCAACAAGGCTAGTTGATGGATTAACCCTGCCCATTAGTGTAATCACATCCTGAAGTGTAACTGGAGTGAAAGATGACCAGAGACCTACATATGGTATCGTCGTATTTAAACTTACCAGGCTGGGATTAATGCTGGCCCTAATATATTGTACTTTATCAATGCAAAAGTTTAAAAACACATTACAGCCCTCTACTGTGTGAACAGGGACTTGGGGAACTAACGGTGAAACAATATTATGGATTGTATCATACAAAACTTTAGGTTTTTTCTTGTTTAATAAAATCAAATGAGAAAAATATGCTGATCTTGCCTGCTTTATCATTTCCAGCGAGACAAATTGAATCGAACACAATAATAATCACTCATTTGCATATCATCAATACTTAAGTTATCAATATCCAGGCCTAAAGAAAAAACTAGGTCCAAAGTATGGCCTTTTTTGTGGGTAGGACTAAGAACATGCTGGTTAAAATTAAAAGATTTCATAAGAGCTAAAAAGTCTACCGCCACCCCACAGGAAGGGTCATCGACATGAAAATTAAAATCCTCAAAAAGTAAAAGACTCTCAAATTTAATAATGGATGATAAAACATCAAAAAAACTCCTCTTTAAATAACCGTGTAGAGCCCGGAGGTCGGTAAATCAGGATACAATAAAATGAGTCGTGTGTGTATGTGTTATGTCCCTGTCCACAGGGTACTAAAGATTTCAGTGTGTCAGTCCCTTTGCATGGAGACTGTCCCAGAGCACATGAGGCCAGTGAGAGGACTGGAGTTTCTCTGTGGCAGCGCTGCCGCCTGGCTCTGATCCGCAGCTTGGTTGCACACATCCTTGGCACTGCTGCCCTTTTCCCAGGTACAGTCACATTTTTACAGGTCTTTCTTTTTTTGAGTTCTGCAGTGTGAACTAAAATACTTACTGTGACTAATGCAAATTACAGACAAATTTGTGATCTTGACAGACATATGGAGGATGACGTTACTTTATTCCTTTACACTGTTTCACATAACAAGGTTGCTATATGCCTAATGTTACCGAAATAGGTACCAAAGATTATTAGAAAATGAAAGCTTCAGTGTGTTTCTTCAGCTGCATGCAGGTTACTGAAAGAATTATGGATATTAGATATTAAATCTGTCTGTAATATGTCTTATTAAGGTAAGAACATTAATGAGGAGGCAGCACGGCTGATACAGGAGGGTCTTCATGAATGCGCTCAATGGGGAGAGCTTGATGTTCAAGCCCTCTTGATGGTCGAAGGTGCGGAATTGGAATTACAGAGAGACAGGACTGATGAAAGCATTTCAATGCTGCAGGTATCAAGATGCACAGACACCTTTTACTTGTCAAATCTAACTGAACATTTAAAATGTACATCTGAGATGTTCTTACGACAGTCCATGCGTGGGGCACGACACCCTGTCTTTTCTTGCATTGCATACTGTATTTCAGTACTAATATTCCACTCTTTTCCATCTGAAATGAGCCAAAAAATAGATAAACACCCTTTCAGTATGGTCGAAAACATTTCGAAACCCTTCACTACATCCACATCAATCGTGAAGCCTGTTACTTTA